GCCCGAACGCATCCGGGGCTCCATGCACCCTGGCCAACCAACAAAAATGGAGCTGTCCATTGAAGGCATGGGTTTTGGCTTGCTAGGTCCCCCAGCAATTGGTGCCCTTTTACCGTTTCTTTTTTGGGGCAAAAAAAGGGGTACCCTTATTCTAAGCTCTCTAGTTTGCCTTGGCTTTTCTGCATGCTGGCAGCCCTTTTACCAGGATGTAGTCAACTTCGAGTGTTGGCCATTGTGCTGCCTTTTTGAAGTGTTCGTCGGTTTTCCTCCCGGCAACTTGTTGAGTGGTGTGCAAGGTGTCAATTTTACTTTGGACCCTACCCACCAAAATGTGTGTAAGTGTTTTATGCCTCTTGGCTTTGCTTGATTTTCCCTTTGAAGCCAGCTTGAGTCGTGGTTTGCATTAAAACTATCGAATTCCACTGTTGGAGGTTGCCTTTCAAGGGAAATGGCAACCTAAATCCCCGGAAAAAAAAAGCTCGTCCTCAGCGAAAAAAGAGACACATCTGCGGCAACCGGAATTTCGGACCAAACCTTTTAGCGACAAAAACTCCTTAGCGGAAGAAACATAGAACACAGAATAATAATACTAATAATAATAATAATAATAATAATAATAATAATAATAATAATAATAATAATAATAATAATAATAATAATAATAATAATAATAACAATAACAATAATAATAATACTAATAACAATAATAATAATAATAGTAATAATAATAACAATAATAATAATAAGAAGAATAATACGTAATAATAACAATAACAATAATAATAGTAACAATAACAATAATATCAATAACAATAATAGCAATAATAGTAAGAAGAAGAAGACACAACAGCATCTGCGGTCTGAGGTACAATCTTTTTCGGGTCCCGCTGAACGTCGGGGGCCCCAGCATGCCGCCAGCGCTGGAATTTTCCGTTTGGCGATGCGGGGATGTGGCTAGCGGGTGGGAACTCAGGGGGGGAAGCCCATTTTTTGGGGGGTCGACATCCCTATTTTAAGACACCCACATGCAAAGGAGCCAGTGCTGCTTCCTTGCTTCCTGCTTTTGGTTTGGGGGTCTTGAAAATTAGTCAATCACTGGGGTGGGCATGTGCGCTGACCTCCCCTTCCCGTTTCCCCTGCGGGATGGAAGGCTTGGCCTGACGGCAGCCATTCAGGCGCTCGTGCTCTTGCTGCTGCTGAGTGATCTGAGCAGCGAATCTCGCTTCGCGATTTGTTCTTTGCTGCTGTTAATTGCGGTTTTGGCATCTCGGATGCATTCGGATTCGCGCGGCTTTTCGGGGGCAAGCTGCGGAACAATGAGGATGTCCATTTCAGGTCATTTCTGCAAATAGAGATCGGTCCAGGTCCCCTTGGTGTGCAAGCCCTTTGGTTTTCAACTTAAGATATTAAATGAAAGAGGGGTCGGAATCCCATTTCGAACTCCAATTTATGGACTAATTTTCTGCGTGTCCACTGTTGCTTTTAGATTGAACATGTTGAACTTTGGCTGAGAGCAAGTGAGCAAGAAGTTTTTCTAGCCATGAGACTGCCTTTGGCTTCAGCTGTGACTCGTCCTTGCCCGTCGCACTCTTTTTCCCTGAGCTTTGCCTTCTTCCAGTTGCTTAGGACTCTTTTTCATGTCTTCTCGTTTGGTTGTAAAGGGAATCTATCACAGGTTCTCGCGAACTATCCTCACAGCTTGGGAACGAGGAACGCATCCAAGGCAACGATCGGCCTCGTGAACGAGGATGAAAAACGCAACCTTGTAGAGGCTCCCTTCACAGACGAGGCGGGAGCTCGTGCGAATGCGCGCATCCCGAACGCGGGGAAGACGACGCCTGTTCAAGAGGTTGTGCAAGCATTCAAAAAAGGGTATGTCAATCCCTTTTTGGGGGGAACGTTGGCAGGCTTAAGGAGCCATTTTGCTTTTGTGCCCTCTTGAGTTTCGCTCAGTTCTCTTTTCAACCATCGAGGAGTCAATTGGTTGCGGGGGGACAAAGTCTGGTCAAGGGAAATAGAATGACCTTTGCAAAGGGGTTGCTACACAAACAGAAGAGGTCCGACTTGTTGCTTCAACCAGAGATAGAGTCAACAGCTGCATCCTTGCTGCCAACACGTGGCCTCACTTGAGGTTGCGAAACACTCTGCGAGCACACGGGCTATGTTGATGGCTGATCTTTGGTAGAACCCAACAAACACTTTGTAGATCTTTGGAAGACTGGTGAATTGCTTGTTGAACCTTCGCAGGTAAAGGGTAAGGTGAACGGAAACATCCAGTATGGGGTATGCGACACGAATTTGTAGTGGCTAGCTGCTAGCATTAGATTCTTTCTTGACCACCCCAAAGGAAAGAAACACACAAACACAAACAAACAGCAAAAATGAAAATGTTTGGTTTCGTTTTGTTTGCCTTTTACGAACCAACCAGAGAGAGAGGATCCGTGATCTGAAGGAACCCTCTATGCTGAACGTGTTTGGCCGCAGCTACACTTTTGGCCTGCTGTGTGAAAAAGAAACAAAAGAACCACGGAAAACGCTGTTTCCACTGGCTTTCAGGGGCGTACCCAAAGTGGTTTTCGCTTGACTTAAGGAACTCCGGTTCGGATGTCGCCAGGCGTGAGATGATTTCGCCTCCACGTCTCATTGCTCGGCCCGGCTAGTCTTGGCTGATCCGAATTGGCTGGGGCAAGATCCGATCTATGCCCAGGAACCGATGAGATGAGGTGAAAAAGAGGAAAGAGTCCGCCAGCTGGCCGGCCAGACTTGACCCGGCCTGGCCTCTCTGCGGGCAAAGGGCTTGAAGGGGCCCCTTTCAAGGCTCATGTTTCCCCTTTTTTGGCCCGTGCCTATGGTCTAGCCAAAAGGGTTCCCATTGTTGCGATCACTGGTTGCGACTGGGTTTTCCGCTGATCGGTGCAAAGGGGGAGGCGTCCTTGCACTCCCAGGGCAGACCAGACGGTTGGCTCGGAGCTGCTTCGTTTTGTTCGTTGGTTCCAACAAAAGTCAACAGCAAGGCCATCGATCCCCTGTCTAAAAACGACTGCCTGTGACATTACCAAGAGAACCTCCATTTCCAACCTGCGTGATCCCCAAGCGGCTTTCCTCTCGCAGCCACTTGAACTCCAACCGCCACGCCCGCCAGCTGCGCGAAAAAGAAAAACACAACCCATGGAGCTTGGTGCAGTCGCCTGAGCAACGAGCTATGGCGCGAAGTCAATGGCGAGGCTCGCGGAGAGCAAAAGGAGGATCCATGTCTCTTGGGCAGGTCTCCTTAAAAGATCTCCATTTTGCAACCGTTTGAAACATAGGTTTTTCCACCGAAATAGAGGGAAACCTCCATTTACAAGTTGCAATGTTCAGGTGTATAATGCAAGGATCCCTGTTGGGGATTCTGCTTTTTGCCAGTTGGGAAGTGTAGTCCCAGTTGCCCAGTGGTGACCTTATTTCCTTTTTTTGGGGAGGGTTCGCCTTTAAAGTCAACCAACTAAAAAAGGATGCCCTTTGTTTCCCATGGCTACTGGGCATCTGAGTAGTGACTTGAGCGCAGATAATCCCGGAATTGATCTGCCCTGGATTGAAAAAGGCTCCCGCGCAAAAAAAGAAAACGCAAGCTGACACGGGTTTGCTCACCCCAGACTTGGCGGGTAGAAGACTTCGAGGTGATATGACTGTGGGTCAGAACCCTGCACCACCCATGTTAGTCTATTTTAGTGGGGATTGCGATGTGCGCCCGTGGCCGCATGGTAATATGTCCCTTCCAGGGCACCCCTGGGGTGTGAGCAGCTTTGCAGGCAGAGTTTAGGTATGTGTCATGGCGATGTTCCCCGTGGCTTCCCTTAACAAAGAAGAGGCCTCGAAGAGACACACCGTCTTCTTTTCCGGGGACCGCGTTGCCCATGCCGCGTTTTCGCGCCTTGGCGATATCGACGCGCCTGGAGGACGTCTCTGCCTCCGATTCCTTCTCCGAGGGTCAGGAGCAACCTGAGGAGCGGTTGGCGAAAGCGGGAAAATGAGGCACGCACATGGACGTTTTTTTTGGGCGGTGCGGGGCAAGCCGTTTTACTTCGACTCAGGTTTGAAAGTTGGTTGAGTGGTTGGGTGTCCATTTTAACCCACCACGAGTGATTCACTAGCAGGCAATCTGAGGGCGGCCCAAGTGGACAGGCGCCACCTTCTCATTCCGAAGCTTCCATGCTTGTGGGGCCGCTACGAGTTACGTCACCAAAGTGAACCAAACACCCAAGTACCACGGGACGAAACAGTTTCGGGTATCTGAAGCAGTCGAAACAACACCCCTACGGATTTTGTACTTGCGTTTTGTTCCTGGGAGTTTGTATGGTGTTTGTTCGGGTCATCACATCTTACAAGTAAAACCCGGCTTTTTTGTTGGAAAGCCACATCTTCAAAACAGGCTTCGTGTTCGCAGCCTTTATTTTTAAAGGTTCTCGGAGTGGAGGAGCGTTGAGTCGACCAAGTCGAACTGGTCACTGTGGTTGAGCAAGGGCCTGCGGGCCGGCGGGGAAGTTCGGCATATGGTATCAGGATCGCTTGTATGGCACCCATATGGTCATCTTGGGCATACGATTGCCTTTCATTTGCTTAAGAAGACTTTCTATTTTTCTTTGGTGTTAAACGGATTTTATCACTATTGGACATATGGTTTTTCCCAGGGGGCTTAAGCAAATGGAGGTTGCTGATTCCTGTTGACTCCTTAGTTTCCTTCCGGCTTCCCTTGGGTCACACCATCTTCCTAGCGAGATATGGATCCCCCGAAACTCCTCAGTTTCCTTCATCCACGAGCCAGCCTCCAATTCCCATCTCCGCGAATTCGCGAGGCGACTCCGCGACTGGAACTCGGCGGGGCTGACATCGAGTAGAAGGCCAAGGAGGCCTAAACCGAGATCAGACTGGAGCGAGGTTCATGAACTGGCCCGGAGCAAGCGCCATTTCCCCTCAAGAGGAACCATGCTTTGAGGGCAACAAGCCAGTTGTGGGTAGTTCGAGGGTCAAATCAAAAATGGACACCCAAGGACACCAGCCATGTCTATTTTTTGAGACATGGCGAACGTACCTGGGGTCTCCAACGTTTTGTTTTGGTTGGGGGGGGGTAGACCAAATGTGGAGCAGAGATAGAACACGTGAACTTGTGGGTTCTCCAGAAGCTGGCTGAGTAGCTGGTTCCCAGTAGAAAACACGAGGACTGACCCTGCCAAGGGGCTCTTGCGCGGAATGGTTGGGTTCTCATGTTCCCCCCAACACTCAGTAACCAACCTCTCCCCTGTTGAGGTTCTTCAAACTGGTAAACAGTGACCAACAGAAAATGGGCGGACTAGGTTTGAGTTTATGTTAATCTGCAGTGCCCTGAGCCCATCCCTCAGTTTCTGGACAGGGCCCTTGCGCCGAAGACTCAGGACAGGTGTCGCAAAAGCTCTACCCTCGGCTTCGGATTTCAATCGCCCTTGACGGGGCCCCGAGTCACGAGTCATGATCAAAACCCAGGCGTTTACGGTGGTGTACCCTTAAACCATGGGAAAGATTCCTTTTCCAAGGGCGGATATTCGCACCTTTACTTTCATCGTTCACACGGTCCCTTACTAATGTTGACCCCGGATTTATCACCCCCCACTGTCCTATTAGCAGCGTTAGTAGGGGAGTGTTCCCTCCAAAAGTGATGAATCAAAGGGGACACCCCCCGATCAAAATCAACCAGGGCTTGAGAGAATTCCCTGGTTCACATCACTCATTTTCCTCGATCACACCCCCTCATCAAAATCAACCAGATTTAAGTAATCCGTGGATAACATTACTCGATCTTCCCGTGGTTTTCCTTAGGATTTTCAGCTGCCTCCCTTTGCTTCAGAATAGTTATTATTATTGTCCCTTGTTGGTCTTGAAAGGAATTCATCACTACCGAGAATATTTTTGTTTTTTTTCTCCTGGGGCCTGAGATCCAAATGGAAGGCTGGGAAGCTGGTTTCGGCGCTGCTCTTTGCCCCTCGAGGCCCTGGTGCCTGGATGGACTGCACGCGGCACCTCGGAGCCGGGAGGTCCCCGCAAAACCGGAAGGCGGCGTATTTTTTGCGTGCGGGGGTTTCATGCAGAGAGCTTCACTAGAAGAAGCTGGTGTCCAAAACACCACCGGTCCGTGAAGTTGTTTTTTCTTTTTTCGGTTCAGGCCCCGAAACTTGGAGATATGCGCGCAGAGGTGTGTGAAACTTGAGGCCACCTGTTTGGTTCAAGGTGTTCTCTCCAGGGCCCTAGGTGTTCCCATGGATGGCGTTTTAGATATGGCCATGAAGCTTCTTGCTCTTCCACAAAGCAGATGAGGAAATGTGCCAGGGCTGAAGGATGATCTGAAGCTCGCCTGGAGATCTCCATTGGTTCCATTTCGGGTTCCATAAATGGAATTGGGGACCCCCTCCTCTTTATGGTCGGGGGGATCAAGGATGGTGTTCAAGTAAAAAAGTCCTGAAGCCCGCACTTTTCTCTTGAGGCCACCAACATGCAAACCCCCCTCCAAGTGAAACAAACCTGAAGCACCGCCAAACCACACTCCCCTGGCACGCCTTCTGAGGAGCGGATTTTTTCGTGCTGGACCGCACGAAGGACGCGGGCAGAGACGTGAAGAAGCGCGGGTTCTACCAGACAGGAGTAAAAACTTTTTGGCTACCCCAAGATAGGCTTAAACCCACAGGTTCTCCTTGGGGGACGAACCAGCCTGGGTTTAAGTCTACCCTGTCAAAAAGTAGAACCCTGCTACCAGATCTCGTGAGTTGAGAGGATGGCCTCTTGAACAGGAAGCAGTTGCCATGTGTTCGGCCATGGCCACTGGGGGTTTGGGCGGGGGCTTTAACTGGGCTTTGGGGCTTCAGGGGAAAGCATGTGACCATACAACGCTGACTAACATGATGAGTGTACAAAAGAAGTACATCCTAGATTTAGCATTCAATGACAAAGGCACTGAGTATATTTGATTTCTCTTTGGTGCGAAGTGTTCATAGCTTGATATCCACTTTTCGGAAAAGGGGGGGTCTTTGGCGCAGGTGCGTGAGACCTTGCTCGGTTCTGAGGCGCAACGAAAGGCGCGAGCTTGCCTTAAACCTCCGCAAACTCCGCAAGATGTCGAACTTAAGAGGGCTCAGGCACATTTCTCAAGTATCCCAAGTCCCCCGAGTAGTGCACGTTTACCATTTTTTTTGCGGAGGGCTCCCCTACTAAAATTGACTACAGAAAGAAGGGTACCCTTATTCTATGCTCTCTACTGGAGGACCTAGTATCCCTTTCCACGTTTGGGCTCCATTTTAGCGTGAACTTTCATACACGTGGGCTCCCATTTGACATCCTCAAGCTGGGCCAGCTTGGCCTTGTGGTTTTGCAGGCTTTTGGGGCGCCTCAGATGGCGCTGGGCGTTTTTGACGGTGAAGCTTTCGAGTCCATGGTGTTCGGCGTCTTTTCAATTGGGTGTGGTGCATGGTGTTCAAACTGCAAGCACATCGACCATGACCCAAAAATCTACGCCATCGACCATTCCTGATTACGCCAGATGGTGTTCGGCAGAGAGCTGGGGCAAGGAAATAGATGGGTGTGGTGCACGTTTAAGTTAGATTGGTGGCTCTTTTCCCATTTCCCGGAGAAACCCCCCCCTCGAGTGGTTTTTCAGTCTAGGCCACGGGCCAAGTTTTTTTCTTCTGTCAGGAGCCAGGCTTCCAGGCCGAACCAGTGACGGAAGTGCTCGCCTCAGACCATTCTGAGATCGCCACTGGATTCTGCGCAGGTTCGGCGAGGGCCCTATGGAGGGTATGGTTGTTTGTTTGCGGGTAACGTGTGTGTGTGTGTGTGTGTGTGTGTCTTGGCCATTTTTTTTTGGCCACTGGGTCCATTTGAGATAGAATCTCAGAGATCCTTTTTGGTTGTTTTGCTAGAAATATAGATGGCCCTGGTTTACCTGGTGGTTTAATCATCTACCAGGGCCATCTATTTCCCCTAAAAGGACACCTATGCTCAGAGAGCATTTGGTTCGTCAGCTGATTCTGGAAAAACCCTCGTTTCAAGCCACAGCTGCGGATCTCTTTCCAGCCAGCCTCTCGAGATGAGATTGCAGTTTGTACCAATTTGGCCATGGGTCGGAACCAATGGGATCCCATTTTGGTTGGTACCTGAATTCACCACCCATTTTAGTATATTTTAGTTGGGATTGGATGTTCACCGGGGGTACGATTTGGATGTTGACCCATGGCCATTAGGGTAAAACATGTACTACAAACCTTGCCGCAAAACGTCCCATTCACAGCCGGTCGCACTCGCCAGATCACCAGCTCGCCAACTCGCCAACTCGCCATGGCGCACGATGAGGAGATGGCACTTGTGGACACCGACTGCGAGGCCAGTTTTGGCGAGGAGAAGTTCCCATGCATCAGCCAGAAGGTGGCCATGAAAGATCACTGGGCGGACAAGGCGCAAGCCAACCAGAACTGTGAGCATCATAGGCGTCCTTTTTGGTTGTTTTGGCAGAAAAATAGAGGGCGATTCCTGGTTTACCTGGTGGTTTCATCATCTACCAGGGAAATCATCTATGTCCCCTAGGACGCCTATGGTGAGCATGGCATCGTCACAAACTTGGAGATGCCACCCGAGGGTCTGGAACACGGCGCAGCCGCGACGGATTCCGAAGCAGCGCGGACGGCCTTGCTGCTCATGCAGTTTGTCCAGGCGGGTGGGACCGTCTCCTTTTCGGGACCCTCCAAAAATGCCGGTGTTTCATGCTTGTTGTCCCGGGAAAACGATCCAAATTGGTGGTTTTCCTTTTGGAGTTTCTTTAGAACCCAACCAAAATGGGGGGTTTCCTGGTGCAGTCCCTTTAAAACCAAAATCCAAAATCTTGGTTTTCATTGGTGTCCCTTTAAAACCAACATCCAACATGGTGGTTTTCATTTGTGGTGTCCCTTTCTCCCCACCCGCGAAATTGCGCACCCGCTTTGGCCGCCTGAGCGGAGTCGGGTCTGTCGAAGCTCACGGGCGAGCGAAATGGTGGCTGCGCCCGACGAAACTTTGGTGCATTTTGCCAAGGGATGTTAGGACTGAACAACATTTTGCCAACTTTTTTGGGTTTTCCGTATTAAACCACACAAAGGTTAGTCACTTTTAGCAGGGGAGCAGATTTCGCAACCGAGTAAAGATGGCCAAACGTGCTCTTTGCAGCTCACCAATTGATCCAAAACGGGCACCAACAAAGCAAGAGACCATAAGAGACCAGTGCAATCGATGAGTTGCATGAGATCAGTGCAATTGCAACGCTTGAAAGAAGCCTTGACGAGTATCCTCGTGCAAATGAAGTCGCCCATCAAAGGTGTATTGAACTGGGCACTAGCTGTACTTGGCTCAATCCAGACGTGATGGCGCACAGGAAAACGGCCCCCCAGGACTAAATAGGCAGCGGCCAGTTCAAACCAGCTTAGAGGAGTCTCCCCTTCGCCCTCGAAAAGGAGCCCACTCCACGAAGGCTTTGACCAACGTTGAAGGACAAGGAGTGTTGTCCTCACAAAATGCACGCAACATTCGGCTGGATCCACGCGACTTCTGACCGATGGCCTTGAAAAGCCTTCGCTTTGCGCAGCCAAAAAAAGATCCGCGGAACAATTCCTGAGCTTCGGACAGGCTGGTGTCCCTTTAAAAGCAAACCACTAAGGGGTTCTAAAAACAAAAAACAACGCATTCATTTTTGGTGTCACTAAGGGGTTCCATTAAAAAAGAGCAAACAACCACAGCCAAGAAGGTGCTGAAAAACAAACAAAAACGCGCAGCTTATCCAGGGCCTGGCTTTCACAGTGGTCATCGTGGACTCCTATCAGGTGAGCCAAGAAGTTGGCGGCTCCATGGCCGACTCTGGGCTGCTGGTGGGGATCTTCATGACGGGGGGGATGGTGGCTCTGCTGACAGGGGGTATGCATAGGTGTCCAATTTTTGGTTGTTTTGGCAAAAGAAAAATAGATGGGTTTCGATTCCTGGTTGACCTGGTGGTTTAATCATCTACCAGGGAAACCCATCTATTTCCCCTAAAAGGGGGGGTATGGTGGTTTCCCAAATTACCAAAGAGGGGGGTATGGTGGCTGTCAACTTTTTGGATACTAGGTCCGCCAGTAGTTTTGGTTGGGAGGGTTCCCCTACTAAAACAGACCAAAAAGATAAAGTTTGGTACCCTTATTCTAACCTCTCTACTGGAGGACCTAGGATATACTGCTTCTTTGAGTGGATCTTTGGACCTGATAATTTGTTTCGATCCTCAAATGAGCCGAAAAAGAAAGCCCGTTGTATGTGTCAATGTAAGGCATGATCCCATTTGTTCTGGACATCGAATCAGCTGCATGGCCGCTTGTAATTTGAAGGGCAGGAGTGTATCCTCATCGTCATCATCACCATCATCATCATCATCACCATCATCACCGTGGCCCAAAGATTAACAAGTTTTCGCGCAAGTCCCGTGCAAGTCGCGCGCAGCTCGCAGATGCCCCGAAACTTCTTGGAGCAGGAGTTGCCCATTTCTGTATTTTGCATTTTCTTTGTAATTTGATCTGAAGATCCCATCAATTTTGCCAAGTGAATTTGTTAGCAGAAAACTTGCAGCGGTGTATACACATGAGACCTCATACACTTAAAGGGGCATGCCATTGGGGGACCTCATGCGTATGAAGACCGCCGCTTGGATTTGCAATGAAAACAACTTGGGATAAGAGTTTTAATACGGCATTTATTTTTCAGCTCAAATGTCCTTTTGACCAAGTTAAACTTGTTGCTGGGGAATCTATTTCCCAAGGTGGGCAACGCCTTGATGACTGCGGCGCTGCATCTCTGGCCCGACACCTGGCAGAAACTGCGGTCCTGGCTGCGCTGGTGTCTCTTCTGCGACGTGTGCTCCGCGGTGTGCTACGTCTCTTTGGTGCATTTTGCCAAGGGGTGTTAGGACTGAATAACTCTTTGCCAACCAATGGGATTTTCCGTATTAAACCACTAAAAGTTTTCAAATTTTAGCAGGTGAGCAGAAAGCCACCAAGCTTTTTTTGTATCCCTTTCCACGTTTGGGCTCCATTTTGGTGTGAACTGTCATACACGTTGGCTCCCATTTGACATCCTGCCGAGGTCTAAAAAAAGTTTTGCCAACAAATGGGTTTTCCATGAAACACCACCAATAGTTATATCAATTTTTAGGGGAGCTTTTTACCAACTCATGGGAGTTTCCGTATTAAACCACGAAAAGTTATATCAACTTTCAGGTGAGCAGATTTTGCCGAGGTCTTGGTGCTGCAGCATGTGGCGTTTTTGGGCCCCTGGGCGCTCTTCTGCCTGCTGCTGTGCCGCTTCTGCGGGGGGTTGGGCATGGGCTCCACGGGGCAGCTGGCCGCCGTGGTGATCGCCCAGGTGACAAAGGCAGAGGAGCTGCCGAACCAGATGCAGCGCCTGCAGTTTCTTCCATGCTGAAATGAATATATTTTACTATTATTATTTTCCCTTGCTGAAATGGTTTATTATTACTATTATTTTCTTTTCCCCTGTTGGTTTTGAAGGGAATCGATTTCACTACTGCTTCCACTTGCATAAGCATATTGTTGTATTTTCCCCAGTGGGTTTTAAAGGGAATCGATTTCACTACCGGACATATTCTATTATTTCTTCATTTTTCTCCAGCCGAAGAAGCCAATTGTTAGGTTTTGGCAGTCCCTGGGCCTGGGCATGGGCCCCCCCGTGGCCGCCTGCGCCTTGTGGGCCTATGACGCGCTCCCCTGGCAGCTGGGCACTCGCCGGGCCGCGGCGTGCGGGGTGCTGGTGCTGCTGCAGGCGCTCACGGCGCTGGCGGCGCGCTGCCCCGCCCACTTGGCGCCGGTGGGAAGTCCACCGCCCCAGTCCGGCTCCAAGATTTCCTCCGGCGGGAGGCTGGGGTAGACTTAGGATGCGCTGTTGCAATTTGCCAGTGACTCGAAGTGAAGCAAACCATGAAAAAAAACATTCTATGACTGGGCCTAACTCTCATGCAGGAGCCACCTGATTGGCGCCTGCTGGCTCCTCTGCGCGCTGCGGGGCTATGCCGTCGCGGGCGCGGAGGTGGGTACGGCCGTGTTGCTGGAGACGGGCTATGGCTGGACCAGCCGCTCCATTGGCCTGATGATCGGCTGGGCCTTCATCGCCAGTGTGCCTCTGCGCTTCGCATACACTCGCCTGAAAGACCGGCTTAGCACGGGTCTCTGGATCCGGGTCATGTCGCTCTGCGCCATTGCTGGCACGTGTTTCCTGTTCTCCTCGGCTTCGGCAGTTGGGCTCAACTTGGTGCTCGCGGATCTCATCATCTTTCCTGCCCTCTACTTGGGCGAGGGCCTGACCAGGGGTTTGATGATGCAAATGGTTCAAGACCAAGCCGCCGTGAGCGTCAACACCGCGTCCTTTGTCGCAATCGCCATCAACAATCTGGCCCGCACTCTGGCGCCCTGGCTGGCGCGTTTTTCCATCTCCGCCGGACAGCCGGAAGAAGGCCAAAACCTCTTCGCTTGGGGGCAGCTCTTGTGCTGCGTCCTCTTCCTGGTGGTTTTCGAAGTGGGGATTCAGAGAGCGAGCTGAAAGTGCCGGCATGGCAACATAATTGGCCAATCCCCCCCACGCAAGAACAAGCAGACGCTCCAAAACGTTGCGCCTGACCTGTCACGGGTGTTTTTGGCCTCACCCTCTTGCAGAAGGGCCCAAACGCGGCTTGCTTTGGGTTTGGGTGAGCGTGCAGCGCCTGGATGAATCATCGATTCGCAATTCATAATCTGTGCTCAGTTGTACAGTCCCGTCAGTATTAGGCCTGATCAGACCGAAGGCAGGGATCCGATAAAAAAGCAAACGAGCCGAGCCGCAAAGGCAGGTTTGGGGTTGCGACGAATTCCTTTGCTCGCCTGAATGGGAAACTTATGTATGCAAGTTGCTGTGATTCAGAGCCAGTCGAATTGGACCAAGGGGTTCTTTTAAGATAACCTTCAGGCTCCAGTTGTCTTCGATCCAAAAGTGCCAGCTTCAAAGAATTTGGTGCTCTCAGCTTTGGTATATCAAACCAAAGTCTCGGGACAAAATGGGGGCGGCCGAATGTTTTGTAAGGGTACCCTTTCTAGAGGTGGGGGCTTAATTCAAGAGATAGGGACCGCAGGTCAAAATGTCTTTGGTTCCATGACCCCAAGGTGCCATGTTGGTAGATTTTTTTAGCCACCGCCTATGTCTCCCGCCCTTGCGTATCGAGCTTTATTTCACAACCAAACGGGAATGAGGGAATGAAACGTTTTGGGGTTCCCGAAGAAAGGAAACCACCAGAAACGGATGGTTTTCTCGGGGTGAGCCATTTCTCATTCCCTGAGCATTGGCAAGTTCAATGTTAGTCTTTTGATCCCGAGAGGTGATATCAAGGGTCCGTTGAGTGCATGCACTACTTTTGACGAACCTGTTTAGTTGCAGTCGGCTATGGTTGAAAACCGCATGAATCAAGCGCTAGAATGGAAAACCTGGTAAAACTTGCTGGTGCTAGGGAATGACCTTCCGGGTTTTGGGAATACCAAACAGGAACAGTCTCGCTGGTGCATCGAAGCATCTAACAGTTGAAGCAAAGGAAAACGAAGAACTGTTGCTTATCTAAGTTTCATCTAGAGTCTTTCAACCCATGTCGCATTATTTGCGTGTTGCTTTTTCCGTCCGTGGCATGGACCTGCATTGTGTCAGTCATGGCATCCATTTATGTCTCTATATGGTATGGCTCGGGAAGGGGCCCGGGAACGAAACAAGCTCCAAACCGCCCTCCCCTCGTTTCACCTTGACCCTCGCATGAAGCTTTGCTCTTCGGCTCCAGGTGGACCCGTAAACGTCAACTTTGGGCCTTTCACGGCTCACTCGAAAAGGCCCCCCCGCTGCCCCGTGATCGCAACGGTGATCGCGGTCCCTCAGTTGTTCAGTGGCTCCAGTTCTTTTTCCCTTTTTTTTGGGTGGCTGGCCCACTAAAAATCCGGTCTTCCCAAAAAAGGGTAATCCCTTTTTTTTCTCCAGGGTCACTGAACAACCGAGGTCCATGCCCATTCTGCTCTTCTCAAATGGTGGGGACTTCAAGGTTAGCTTGCTTGCCATTTTCTGAGACCCGACAAAGCAACTTGAGAATCTCCTTGTGGGAAGTTCACCCCTCTTGGGTAATTGATTCTGGCATATTGCGAAGTAAAGCCACGCTGTGAATGTGAAGAGTTGGAACCCCACAATGGAGAAACATCCCATTCTCATTTCAATTTGTGGGTACCACTGAACGTTTTATACCACCCAAACACTCCATGCAGGCAAAACAACATATGTCCCAGCATTCCACTGGGTCAGTTCTCGTGGCAATCATCCGCGCGGATGAAAATTCCACTCGAAGCCACCGAGGTTCTATCGCGCTGGGACAGCTCGAGGTGATCTGCGGGGCGTTTTCTTCGAGGGTACGGCGGTTTTTGTGTAGGAGTCCGAAATTGAAGCCGCATGGGCCAAGATTAAACCATGGGGCCACAGGTTTTAGTCCTTGTTTCCATGTACCAGGGGCCATTTTGGGTGCCTATTTTTGATTTTGAGCCAGACATGCTTGTCACTAATGGTCACTATTGGGCTGCAATGCCTCCCCTTGCTGAATGAGTATATGATACCTGGATGTGACGTTTCCTTCTTCGATTGAGAGGCATCAACAGGCAAACTTGAACAAATCCCTAAAAGCAGCTGCAGCAGATGGCAACGGATCCTTAACAAACTCGAACATATCAATCCCCAAGAGCCCCAAACAAAACATCCGCGCAAAACGCCCGAAGATTTGGGCGGGGCTATGGAACCCCCCCCAAAAAAAAAGAAGGAGTGTCTCTTCAGGCTCAGCCACCCCCGTTTTGGAGGGGCACTCCAACCACAGCGTTTGGAGGTTCGAGCTCTGGGACAGCCCTGCGAGCTCTGCACATCCCCGCGGAGGCCAGCAAGGACTCCCCCGCGGACCCGGGTCCGACGGGTTCTGCGCGGGAGGCTGAAAATCTGGGTTTGTCTCATAGGGAAACCCATTTCGGAGGGTAAAGGGAAACCAGCAGGTAATCAACCACCAGCCACTTGATCAACTCTTGGTAGGGGAATCTAGTGACACCGGTTTCTGGGTCGGGTCAAGCCAAAAGTGTGGAAGAGAACAGAGGCAGAGTTGTTTTTTCGACAGCCCCCCCCCTCTTGCGGGCCCAAAGGAACCTTTCCGTTTCCCGCGTGGCGATCCGGTAACTGCCTTTACTCCAAGTCATCCGCTCCGGTTGGTTATTCAAGGCAGCCATGACTGGACTTGGCACCTCCAGCGAAGGAACGTTTCCCCCTGAGCCTTAAAGGGGCATGACCATGTTGAACGGCGCCACCTTTTTGTCTCCTGTCTCCTGATTGTTTGTTTGTTTGTTTGTTTGTTTGGTTGTTTGTTTGTTTGTTTGTTTGAATAGCCTCCATTTTGCGAGCATTGTCCGGCTTTCCTCCCCAGTTCCAGGAGGTGAACTGGAGCTGCGCGAGGGCCCAACGCCGCGCGACCCATCGACCCATCGACCGATGGCTGGGAAGCGGCTCCATGCAAGAAGATACCGGACTCCCCGGAGGTGCCATCAGTGAGCTTCAAGAAAGCACGCATGAAGACGTTCTCAATGGCTTCAAGCTGATGAAGTTCCGATTGCTTTCTGAGAAAAAAAACAAAACACTCTTGACAGGAATGCAAGGTGTGGTGGTGTCGGTTGATTAACTTTGACCGCATGAAGCTCTTTCGCAACTGAGCGATGGCCTCGGTGGCCACAGTGTTAAGAGACTGGACAAGTGCGCTCGCAGTATGGCGCATGGCGCGGGATGCACAGAAAAATCCACCGAGCAGCCCACATTACTTTCCACATTTCTTATATGAATTACTTTAATCTTATCAACTTCAAGTCCAGGAAATATGAGAATCAGGAGTCGCGATGCCTGGCAACATGTATCCGCAGCGAGTGCGACATTTGGAAAGGCAGCCGATCGGAGAGGAGATCCACCAGACCCCCAGTGGAGGGCTCGCAGTTTCCGTCAGTCGAGACCGATCTTCGCGGGTGAAGGGACGTGCCTGGAAGTTCTGCAGCCATTTTAGGGCAAAACCTACTTTTGGGTAGTTGGCTCCTGGTGCTCATGTTTTCCTTTCGCGTTTTTCGTTGGGTACAACTTGTGTTTGGGGTTCGATGATTGAAAAGTTCAATTGAGCGATGTAGGACCGAAACCGCCAGTTTGGGTCCCGATCCCTATTTGGATGAACACGCCCCAATATCTTTAGGAGAGTGGCCCAATATCTTTAGGAGAGTGGGGGGGGATCCCTTAGAGGGGGGGGTCCCTTTAAACCGCTCAGAAAAGGATGCACGAAGGTTTTCATGGGTGCCATGTTCCACGGGTCCACACGTCGCATCGAGTCGGTCGGGAGCCACCAAGGGGGCGGCTGCTTCCTTGGTTTTCAGTTTTTTTTTGGGAAACCCGGGTCTTGGGGGTGTTGCTCCCTCGACCAGACCGGATCTGAAAGGACTCGAGCCCGACTGCAAAGATTTTGCTTCTGATGTCTGACCCGCACGATGCGCCTTGCATCTGAAACGCCATGCTACTGTGGCTGACGCAGTGCTCACACTTTTTGAGTTGGACGCACTGGCAGAGCCACAACTTCCCAGCAATGATGGGATCAAGATTTACATCGAGGGTGCCGTGTCGGTCTGGCATTAGCTTGTGTGGCTGGCTTTGTTTGCAAGAGGTTGCTTAGCACAGGATATGCTCAGGCCTGCACGAGGAGTGTGAGATGTCAGCAGCAAGATGTTGCCTTGACTTGAGCAAAGCACGGAGCCGTTGGACCCAACCAGCGTGGCTGCGCCTAGCGGGGCAAGCTTCAGACGCCGTCAGAGAACCCAATCAGCAGGTTTTCAGGAGAAGCCCGTTGCTGGGCTGATTCTAGCGGGTATAGCGCGATCCGGCTGCGAACCGGCTGCGATCGTGCCCCCGCAAGCCACGATCTAGCTGTATCTTGGCAGGATCCAAGTCGGATCCAGCTGCGGTTTGCGCAAGAGAGTGTGCTGTAAGACTGCCTGAGTTGACGCATGCACCACGTCATGCTGCAATCAGGGCGCTCTTTTTGTAGTGCATGATTGACCGCCTCGTGCAGTTGTCTGGGGTTGGGCGCGTGAAAGGCAACAGCTTCGTAACCCGCTTCTATTTGCTGCTGTTGTCTTGCAAATCTTCGCCGCGTCGTCTTAGCGCAATTGCTAGACGCAGCACTTGCCTGCGTTGGCGCTCAGGCCTTGTGAGTTGGACGACTTGCCCAGCATTGATGGCAAAAGACAAAGATAAAGAGCATCACGTTGGCTCTACGGCCATCGCTGGCCGCGCTGGCCTCACCGTTTCAAATGTGTGCTGCCGCTAGGCCAATTGATAGCGTGCGCCAAACGCGCGCATAGAGCGAGGGGCAAAGTACACCCATGTTGCTTCGACGCTGCAGCTTTAGACTCCATGGTAGTTGACACATGGTGCTCGCACCTTTTGAGCTGGACGCTTTGCCTCGCAGCACTGGCGGGGCAGTAACTTCCCAAAGGCTGTGCTTTCAAGGCAGGCGCGCGTCGGGATTTGCTTCAGGCATGCAGTGTTGGTCTAGCATTCGGTTCTGTGGCTGGCTTCGCTCGCAAGAAGTTGCCTAGAATGCAGTATGTTCAGGTATGTTCAGGTGCGCAGGAGGAGTGTTAGATGTCACAAGCATCACGATTGGTTTGAGTTGAACAAAGCGCGGCGCCGACAGACCCAACCAGCTTGGTTGTGCCCAGAACTCCGCCGCAGACTGCTGCCGCGGCTGCTTGACGCAGGACTGGTGGCCTGCTGTTGAGTTGGACAGCTTGCCTTGCAGCACCGGCAAAACGGCAACTTTCCTGCAACTATGCTTGTAAGGCTGGCACTCGTCAGGATTTGCTTCCGGTGCGCGGGGTTGGTCGCAAGAGGTTGCTTGGAATGGAATAGGCTCAGGCTTGCAGCAAAAGTGTTACATGTCATCATGAAAAAATGTGATGCCTTGACTTGAGCAAAACACGTAGCCGTTGGACCCAACCAGCTTGGCTGTGCCCAGAACGCTGCGGCAAACTTCAGCTTTAGACTGCTACTGTGGCGGGCAGACGCAGTGCTCACACCTTCTGAGTTGGACGCATGGCCTTGCAGCACCTTCAAGAGCCGCAACTTCCCAGCCATGATGCCGTTCGAGCACGCAGTGTTGGTCTAGCATTTGCCTCAGTGGCTGGCTTGATGAGATGTCTTCATTCCATTTACTTACTCCGGCCTTAAATGCTGAACATGCTGGGGCCCTGTGCCCACCGAAAAGGGTTGTTTGTGGCTAGCCGCACGTTGAACTGCTTGCAACTCGCAAATCAGGACAGGGTGGCGCAAAAGGCTGTGTGCAAGATGGGGCACGCAAAGAATAATAGCTGTGCCTGCCATGCCGCTTGCCCTCTTCCCGACCTATCCATCTTTTTATCTATCTATCTATCTATCTATCTATCTATCTATCTATCTATCTATCTATCTATCTATCTACCTGTCCAGCAGGTTATCTTACCTATCCGTCTATCTCTATCTGTCTCTCTTTCTGTCTATCTCTCTATCTCTCAAATTATGTTGTCATGTATCCATCCAGCTAGCCATCTAGCCGACAGCTAGCTTGCTAGCTTTCTGACCTTTCTGATCAGGGTTCCTTAAAAGATACGTCTTGCCCAGTTGAAACATGGCTTTTTCCACCAAAATAAAGGGACACCACCACTTACAAGGCAACGTTCAGGCGCATAATGTACGGATCCCTGCTGCCGGGCCTCCCAATTTTTAGTCAAGGTCCCAAAAGCTGATCGCCTTTGAAGTGAAAACAAACACGGACCGGTCTCAGCCATAGATCCTGACGGGTTCGATTTGAATGCCAGGTCTTGATGACGTAGCTGTCTGATTTGACGTTCCTTTTTGGCTCAAGAGAATGTTTTCCAGCATGCATTGGGCGTTGACGTTCGGGCATGCACCTTGACTGGAGGTATGGGTCCCATGCTGAAATGAAGGATTTCCTTGACTTGGGCAGCTAAGCGCTTACCTATTGGTTCAAGACATCCTTGCCCTGCGCCTGGGCTGTGATGTGGATGTGGCCATCTTGGTTCAATGACAGACCGAGCGAATCTGGCGCTGGGTGATTTCCCACGCACGCCCCAAAGAGAGATTTTCAAAGGATAGCCTCACTCCCTGAGTTCCTGGACTTCAGCAATTTTGGGGAGGACAATTTTAGTGGCAAACAAGCAGTTTGGACTTTGGGCCAACTCACCCAACTCAAGAAGTGAGTAGCAAGTTTACAAGGGGGCCAAATCCTGAAAAGGCTTAGCAGTTATGCCTTCAGGCTGGCATGCGTTGGGATTCAAGCCAAGCGCGCAGTCTCTGTCTGGCACTTGCTTCAGTGGCTAGCTTCAATATGCCCGTTGAGCAAAGCACGGAGCCGTTGGACCCTGTCAGGGGCAAGCTAAGACATTCTTGCCCCGCACCTGGCCTGCACTGTGGATGTGCCAGCCATCTTGGTTGAATGACAGATCGAGTAGAACTACTGGCGCCTAGTGACCTCCCACTCTCATCACAGGACAACAAGTTTCCAGGCGGGCCAAAGCCTGAAAAGGCTTAGCAATTATGTCTTGAAGGCTGGCACGCGCTATGATTCAAGTCAAGGATGCAGTCTTGGTCGAGCATTTGCTTCTGTGGCTGGCTTTGCTTGCAAGAGGTTTCTTAGCATTGGATCCTGCGCGAGGAGTGTTAGATGATGTTGCCTTGGCTCAAGCAAAGCTCGGAGCTGTTGGACCCAACCAGTGTGGCTGTGCCCAGAACACCGCGGCAGGCTTCAGCCTGCTACCACATCAGAGAACCCAATCAGCAGGTTTTCAGGAGAAGCCCGTTCCTGGGCTGATTCTAGCGGGTGTAGCGCGATCCGGCCGCGAACCGACTGCGATCGTCCCCCCGCAAGCCACGATCTAGCTGTATCTTGGCGCGATCCGAAATGAAGAGTGCTGTAAGAATGCCTGAGTTGACGCGGGCACCGCCCTGTCATGCCGCCATCAGCGCTTATTTTTGTAGCGCATGATTGACCGCCAGCCCGGGCAAGTTGGGCGCGTGAAAGAAACCAGCCCCAGAACCCGCTTCCATTTACTGCCGTTGTCTTGCAAGTCTTCGCAGCGGTTTTTTTTCCGCCCAACTGCTAGACGCAGCACTTGTTGCCTGCAAGTTGGCGCTTAGACCTTTTGAGTTGGGTGCAATACCTTGCACCGGCAGCAGCTTCCCAGAAGCCGTTCTTTCGATGGCACGCGTCGGGATTTGCTTCAGGGACCCGGGGATGCAGCGTTGGTCTAGAATTGGTTTCCGGTCTAGGATTTCCGTCCGTGGGAAGAGGCTTTGCTGGCAAGAGGTTGCTTCGAATGGAGTAGGCTCAGGCTTGCAGTTATATTTCGAAAGATGAGGAGAATAATGTGGTCTTGACTTGAGCAAAACACGTAGCCGTTGGACCCAACCGGCTTGGCTCTGCCCAGAACGCTGCGGCAAGCTTCAGCTTTAGACTGCTACTGTGCCGGGCAGACGCAGTGCTGACACCTTTTGAGTTGCACGTATGGCCTTGTCGCACCTTCGGAGCCGCAACTTCCCAGCAAAGATGCGGTCAAGGCTGGCACGCATTGCGATTTGCTTCTCGAGGACGCAGTGTTGGTCTAGCATTTGTTTCCGTGGCTGGCTTCACATCAAGGTAGCCGCAAAAGCTTGCTTGAAATGGGATGCTTGGAATGGGATGGGTTGAATCCATTTCCTTATTTCTGCGTAAAGTTCTTAAGCCGCTGGGTTCCTGTCCCCTCCGAGAGGAGTCATTTGCGGGAAAACGCACGTTTAACCAAACGGCAACCTGCACATCAGGACAGGGCGCAAAAGGCTGTGTGCAAGATGCACGCGAATACTCATAGTTGTGCGTGCCACGCCCCTCGGCCTCTGGCCTCTCCTGCCGCCGGCTTAAACAGCTACGCAGCAGTTCGCATTGCTTGGGATGTTTCTGTGTTGCCGAAGGGCGGGATGAAGCCCGGCCCAATTGATACAGCAAGTGCTCGAATCCGTTTGGCAAACGGGCGCGAAACGTTTCGAGCAGCCGACTTTGCGCTAGTGTAGTGACCAGAATATGGGCAGTTGTTGAAATTACGCTCGGTTGTGCGGATTTGCGCCCGAGTTGCGCGAAATTGATCCCGGAGTTGCGCCGCATTGCACTTGAAACGCGGGGCAAATCTCGGGCCAAACCGTCTTCAACACTGTTCGTTGACAGTTGCGCAGAAAAAACCGCTCGAACTCCGAAAATGCAATTGAGCACTTTTTGTCTGTATCCATTCGGCCTTCAGGAGCACTGCAAGGTTGCGAAGGGCGTGCCTCTGATTGAAGGAGTGGTTGCTAGCGAATTTTGCGCTCGGGTCCCAGTCCGTTCTTTTCTTCACTTACTATTTTGTGATTTGGAGGGGAGGGCAGAAAAGTTGGCTTTGCCGTAGAAGAGCATACCATCTCCCTCAAATGGTTTCACTGGCGGAAAGTGCACGCAGCAAGGAGCACAGCCTTGTACAGTGTCGAATGGCGCGGATGGCATCGTGAGGCGAATCATGTTGACTTGAGCAAAGCATTGGGCCGTTGGACCCAACCAGCTTGGCCGTGCCCAGAACGAATTCGGCGGCAAGCTGCAGCTTCAGACTGCTACTGCGGTCGAAAGGCGCAGTGCTCACATGCGTGCAGCGCCGGCAGAGCAACTTCCCAGCAACGATGCTGTCAAAGCTGGCACGCATTGCGATTTACTGCGTGGATGCAGCGTTGGCCTAGCGTTTGTTTCCGTGGCTGGCTTTGCTCGCAGGAGGTTGCTTAGAATTGCAGGAGTGTTAGATGTCATCCGCATCATGATGTTGCCTTGAGCAAAGCGCGGAGCCGGTGGACCCAACCAGCTTGGCTTCGCCCGGGCAAGCTTCCGCTTCAGACTGCTACTGCGGTCGAAAGGCGCGGTGCTCAGACCCTTTGAGTTGGACGCATGGCCTTGCAGCACCAGCAGAGCCGCAACTTCCCAGCAATGATGCGGTCAAGGCTGGTGTGCATTGCGATTTACTTCGAGGATGTCGTTTTGGCCTAGCATTTGCCTCAGTGGCTGGCTTCACATCAAGGTAGCTCGCAAAAGCTTGCTTGAAATGGGATGGGTTCAATCCATTTACTCATTTCTGCCTAAAATGCTCAAAATGCTGGGGCCCTGAAACCGCCTGTGTGCAAGATGGGGCACGCAAAGAATAATATCTGCGCCTACCATGCCCGTCGCCCTCTGGCCTCTTCGTTGCCAACGCCAGCGGGCTTCAACAGCACAAGCTGCGCAGCAGCTCGCATTGGTTGTGATGGCTCAGAGTTACCTAGGACGAGCTAAGCAGCACAAGCTGGCGAAGGGCGTGCTTCTGATTGAAGGAGTGGTTGCCTGCGACTTTTGCACTCGCGTCTCAGCAGGTGCAGTACTTCACTTGCTATTGTCTGCTTTGCAGAGGGAGGCTGTCGTTATTTTTTCGGTAGGCTGTCGTTATTTTTTCGTGAGTAAAAAGGCAGCCCTTTCTGTAGAAGCAACCTGGATCATGAGGAGAGTCACGTTGCATTGACTTGAGCAAAGCACGGAGCTGTTGGACCCGACCAGCTTGGCCGCGCCCGGAACGCTGCGGCAAGCTTTAGCTTCAGACACAGGCCTCGCACTTTTTGAGCTGGAGGCCTTGTTTTGCAGCACTGGTAGAGCCGCAAGTCCTCAGCAATGATGCTGTCAAGGCAGGCACGCATTGAGGTTCAACTCAATGTGCAGTTTTGGTCTAGCATGTGCTTTAGTGGCTGGCTTCGGATCAAGAAAGCTTGCAGGAGCTTGCATTTTGAGTAATGACGCCAGACCTGCGGCTTGATATGAGAAGGTGCAGGCGCTGCTCGGATGGCAGTGATTTGCAATGACTTTTCCATGTGCCAGTGTTGTGAAGGAAGCTGGCGGGGCTGTGCCCAAAGCTTGGTGGATTTCTGGCTGCGCGAGTTTGACGCTAAGCTTTGCGGAGCCTGCCAGCCAAGCAGCTATCAAGGCTGAGGCTCACCTCAGCGATCGCACCTGTTCCAAGGCTGCATGGAATGAGGTCGTGTTAGCTGTCAGGAGTAGCAGTAGATGGCATCGTGAGGATCATCATGTTGCCTTGACTTGGGCAAAGCATGGAGCCATCAGACTCAACTAGCTTGCTTTCCCCAGAACTTTGTGGCAAGCTCAAGCTCAAAACTGCAGCGGTTGTCAGACACAGCCCTGCTGGCCGGCACATTCGCTTAGATTTGAGTTGGACGCTTGCCTTGCAGCAACGACAGCACCGCAGCTTCCCTCGCTCACGCTTTCAAGGCGGAACGTGCGGGGAATTGATGTAACGACGCAGTCTTTGTCTAGCAACTTCAGTGTTTGCATCAAGGAAGTGTTGTCTCCTAAGAGGTTGTTTGGCATGGGTTCTTTTCAAGCTTGCAGGAGGAGTGCTAGATTGCATTGCAATTGCAAGATGGGCTACCTGGGCACCGACTCCTTTTGCTTTCCCGCGCTTTTAGCCCCGAATGTGCTCGGCCGACGCAAGCCAGAGCTGCACCAGAAGTGCTTTGCGTTGTAAGGCCCCGTGGAATAAGCGGCGTAGATTTCCCTCCATGCTGCTTTGTAAGCACAACCTTGTTCAATGCGGCTTGACGTAAGCAAAGCACATAGCGATTGGACCCAACCAGTTTGGCTGCGCCCAAACCTTCACGGCAAGTTGCAGCTTGGAATTGCTCGTGTGGTTGGCGCTCGCAGTGCTCAGAGCTTTTGCGTTTGATGCGTTGCCTTGCAGCACTGGCAGCGCGGCAGCTTCCCAGCCATACTGCATGCTGCTTGTCCAGCGTGAAGGTTGGAGGCTGCAGTCCTTCGGCAATTGCTTGCGCCTCTTCTGATGTTCCCAGCCCTTGCGCTTTGAAGGCTGGCGCAGGTTGAGGTCCAACTCAATGCGCAGTTTTGGTCTAGTATTTGCTTCAGTGGCTGGCTTCGCATCAAGAAAGCTTGCAGGAGCTTGCATTTTGAGTAATGACGCCAGACCTGCGACTTGATATGAGAAGGTGCAGGCGCTGTTTGGATGGCACTGATGCCAGTATTGTTGAAGGAAGCTGGCGGGGCTGTGCCTAGAGCTTGGTGGATTTCTGGCTGCGCGAGTTTGACGCTAAGCTTTGCGGAGCCTGCCAGCCAAGCAGCTATCAAGGCTGAGGCTCACCTCAGCGATCGCACCTGTTCCAAGGCTGCAGGGAGTGAGGTCGTGATAGCTGTCAGGAGTAGCAGTAGATGGCATCGTGAGGATCATCATGTTGCCTTGACTTGGGCAAAGCATGGAGTCATCAGACTTGACTAGCTTGGCTTTGCCCAGAACTTCGTGGCAAGTTCAAGCTCAAGACTGCTGTGGTTGGCAGGCACAGCCGTGCTGGCCGGCAAATTCGCTCAGATTCGAGTTGGACGCTTGCCTTGCGGCAACGGCGGCGCAACTGTTGAGCGTGCAAGCTTTCAAGGCTGGGGCACGTTGGGGCTTTCAAGGTTGATAAAGGAGGTTTCGTCTAAAAGGTTACTTGGCTTGGAGAAGTGCTTTAGCTCACAAGCTAGCTGGACGCATTGCATAGTGTCGGTGCGGAGCCCACCCGCTCGGCTGTCAGTTGCCAAACCCCCTGGCACACCCCATGACTGCGGTGGCTTATACATACTATGTCTCTCCACCTTGCTTTCGCCAGGAGTCTGCGCGCAAGGCACTCCGATCCCCTTCTTTGCATGGCTTGCGTGCCGTCGGCTGCCTTTGAGAGGCTGCCTTTGAGAATCTTTGATCGTCAGCCTCATGTTGTTGCTGACTGCGGCCTGGCGCATTCCCATTCCCCAACGCGCCGGAGGTGCCGCAAGCGGGCGCGAAGGTCCTTGCAGTCTGGAACCCAGCCACTTCAAGCACCCCCTGATACGCGCTAACCGGGGAGCTGGCGCAGTTGCTTCAGACTTGTGCTTGGAGCGATTCGGCGGGCGCGTTTGTGTGTGTGAAAAAAAAGAAGAAGAACATGCGCCCCAGCGAGCCCTATGGCAAGGAGCATGGCATCAACCAGGAGCATCGTGAGCAAGGGTCTGGCAAAACAGAATTTGAAATGGCGTCAGCAGTGTCAGCGGGAGAAGTCTCAGCGCCCTTGGACCCAACTGGTTTGGCTGCAGAACTTTACGGCTGGAGATTACACCTGTGAATGGCGCACGCAGTTCTTAGACCTTTGGCTAGCGACGGCAGCGCCGCAACGCACGTAGCTCACGCTTTCCAGGCGGGTTGGGAATTGACGTAAGCATATGTACGACTCCAGTCTTTGTCCAGCATGTGCTTCATGGGCTAAGTTTCGGCTCCTAAGAGGTCACTTGGCGTCTTTTGGGAGTGCTAGATGACATCACAAGCCTGAGCTTGGACACAACGCATCGTGTGGAGCCCACCAGCTCGGGTGTCAGTCAAAGCCCCTGGCACACCCCTGGCCACTCGGGTGTCAGTTGGCTTAAACGTACTATTCCACTTTGCTTTTGCCGATGCGCAGCCACCCTTTCTGCCGTTTTCCGCACGGCTTGCAAGCTGTTGTTCCTGAGAGCGGTGTGGGGGGCATTCCCCGTAAGTTGACCGGCGTTTCCCAACGCGCCGGGGAGTTGGGATGCCGGCGCGGAGGTCCTTGCGACCTCGGCTGGAGGAAAGGATCTGATTTGAGAGAGTGTCGCAGCGCAGAAAAAGGGACACCGTAAGTTTGATTCGAAGGGGTGAGGAAGTGGGCGAGGGAGGGGGTGACTCGGTAAGTTTTTTGTTAGCTTAGCTTCGGTTGCTGCAGGCTTGCTTTTACAGCTGTTGTGCACACTTTGGAGCGGGCGCTTTCGGTGGGCATCTTCCAAAGCTTTGCTTTGACAGTGCGATTTGGGAAAAGTACGCTGTCTTTGTGCTCAGCTCAAATCTAGTCATTTGGATCCAGTGCCGGGTTCAAGTCTGGCTGGCGAAACACCATTTTGAGGCTTGCGTTTGTTTGCTGCAGGTTTGTTTGCAAGAGTTGCCGATACGTCATAGATGTTTTGTGGAACGGGCTATTGCAATCTTCCAAACTTATAAAGCTTGACAGCGCAGCGCTGTGGCAGACATGTTGTCTTTGCGATGACTAGGTCAGCATCTTGACTGCTTCCGGGTGTTGCCAAAGTCACCAACTGGTCGCATAAACCGCGGAGGAAAAAGGCCAAAACAAAGATGAGGCCAGAACTAGCACAGAAGTTGTTGCTTTTTCCCCATGGTGTTTTGTAGAAAAACCTCCTAGTTTCTGATTGGAGCAATGGCGGGGGATGCTATTCTCCAGGCGTTTGGTTTGAAATGCTTCACTTTGGGACTTTGGAAGTTGAGAACTTTGGGCCATGCCCGCAGAAAGGACCAAGCATGGTTGTTGTTGGGAAACATTTTTCCCATTTTTGCTTATTGTGGTATTTAGTGGTTGAAATCCCCACTTAACTGCTAAAAATTAAATTGTTGCTCCCCTTCCAACGTCAATCAGGCAAGTGAGACATCAAGTGTTGGGTTTCTATGAAAGCCTCACCAGAATGCACGAGCTTTTGGTTTGCCCGAAAGCATCATGAAGGTTTCTTCCGCGCGGATCCCTCGGACTAACTTGCGCAGAGGCACTTGCACGTTCGCACACCAAGTTGCACAGAGCCATTTGCGCAGACCAACTTGCACAGAGTAAGTTGCATAGAACCACTTGCGCAGACCAACTTGGCCAGAGCAACTTGCATAGAATCACTTGTGCAGATCAACTTGCGCAGGGCAATTTGCATAGAGCCATTTGTACACAATCAGTTTCGCAGAGCCATTTGCACAGAGTCAATTGCGCTGAGCCATTTGCGCCGGGCAAAGTTGCACAGAGCTACTTGCACAGAGCCAGAACCATCTGCACAGAGCTACCTGTAGAGTAAATTGCGCAGAGCTATCTCCGAGCAGTCTGGGAGGGTATATTCTGGGTAAAGAGGTGGGGTTCTTGGGCTCGCTGGCAGCCATGCAAGTTAAGTTAAGTTTCCACGAAAATTCTTAGCGTGCGCGAGAAAGCTCAGCAACGACAGGAAGTTTACAAGGAGCTTCTGTGGGAATAGAATCTATAGAATGTGACAAATGCAACCTTCTCAGGGCTTCGTTAGCCCGATCGCGACGCCTGGTCGAAGCGATCTCGGAGCGCATCCGGAGCGCGCGCCCATTGGAACGGACGCGCGCGCTTTTCGCAACAATAGTTTTGCATGGAAGGCGCAGTACTTTCGCAAGGTGAGCTCCAGAATTCGGTTCAGGCGCTGCGCTTTCGCAAGTCATGCCAGAACGCTGCGATTGCCGCGCGGCCCTCTGCGATCGGTGTGGTCGATGTCAAAAACAGCCAAGAGGGTCCCATTGATTCCAGACCAGTTTCAATATTTTCACCGACTGGCAGCTTTGAACATATTGATGTTTGTGTTGATATTTGTGTTGACTTTGCTGACGTGCGCTGAGTTGCCAAGCAGGCAGCCTAGATTCCGATGTTGATTTGCTCGATTAAAACCAGGTCTTGATGGTGATGCAGC